CTAAATAATCCTACATTGATTATATTCCTAAAATCTATCTAGTTTCCTAATTACAATCCTCATCAAACTAGAAAAACATAAAAGATAGAAATAAATAAAAGATACATCATATCTTTTTCCTAACAAATCTCGTTGGTATTTGGTAAGTTTAGTTTATATCCTAACAAACCTTCCCTTAAACTCAACTTACCAAACATCCACATGTACCAACGAAACGTATTCCTCTATAGTGCTACATCATAATCATCATCTACGGCAATAGTAGCGATCCCACCCCTAACATTCTTCTACGCCTTCAAGTCCTCCTTGTACTTAGAACACCTTGTTTGAATGTGTCCCTCTTCTTCACAATACCAACACTTTATGTTAGGATTGACCGCCTTCTTGCCTTTCCAATTTTTTTCACCACTTGTCTCCACTACCAATCCCTCATTGTTGATTAACGATCCTCCTTGCTTCATAAATCTCTCCGCCTCGTTTAGGGCCACCACGGTATCGTCCAAAGCAATAGTAGTCTTCCCTACAAGCATACTAGTTATAACATAATTATACTTTTTAGGGAGAGACGTCAACAATATAATTGCCTTGTCTTCTTCCTTGATTTTCACATCTACATTCGTTAATTGGGTGATCAAGACATTAAACTTATTTAGATGATCTTGTAGTGAGCCAACTTCCTCCATCTCGAGTGAATAGAGATCTTTCTTCAAAAACAACTTGTTTGCTAATGACTTGGATGCGTACATCTTTGTCAACTTCTCCCACAAATCTTTCAGATTTGTATCCGACAAGACGTTGTACTTGATCTCTGGGGCATGAGCCAATCGAATTGTACTAGTAGCGCGAAGTACCATATCCTCCCACTTGTCCTTCTTCATCGCATCGGGTTTCTTATCCTCCAAGGTTTTGTGAAGACCTTGATGTGTAAGAATATCCTTCACTGTACTTTTCCATAACGAAAAATTCGTCTTCTGGTTAAATAATTCTACTTTGTATTTGTTCCTAAAATCCTCCATAGCTCTCAACGTAGCTCTGATACCAATTTGTTATAACGGATGTGTGCAATAGAATGATTTGGAAACTCACCCTCAAACACAATATAAAATAAATAATAAAAAAAACTATAATAAAAGAGACAAGTGTTTATGACGAAATTTAGATTTCCTCCCCCCAAACCAAAATATCGTTTTATTAAGTTTTTACTAAATAAGACAATAATCCTCTTAATGATTTTCCTCCTCAACAAATCATCAATTCAACCATCATAATTTTCTAGTAAGCCTAAACCCTCTTATATAGGCTAACATAGAAACCCACATCAATTAGGAATTTTACTTTCTCCCCAAGCCTAAATAATCCTAGATCGATTATATTCCTAAAATCTATCTAGTTTTCTAATTACAATCCTCATCAAACTAGGAAAACGTAAAAGATAGAAATAAATAAAAGATGCATAATATTTTTTCCCTAACAAATCTCATTGGTATTTGGTAAGTTTAGTTTATTTCCTACCATACTCCTTACACTACAATAAATCGCCCTCTTAGGTTCAAATTTCGCCATATTAGGCAAAGAGGGCGAAAATCGCCCCCAAGTTGCCCTATTAGCTTCAAAGGGCAACTACAATCTTTCGTCCTCTTTGTTAAAGATCAAAGAAGGCAATAAATTTCGCCCTCTTTGATCAAAATAAAAAAGGACAAACATTTTTGCCCTCTTTGATTGAATCAAGAAAGACGATAAACATAAATTAGCTCATAAAATTAAGAATTTAACAAAAAATCACAAATTTAGTAAAACTGAATCGAGCAAATTCGAATGTGATACTCAAATCAGAAAATTCGAGCGGAAAGAGAAAATTCGACAGAGAATCAAGTAAAACTGAATTTGATATACAAATCGTGAGAAATCAGCAAACTATAACAAATTATCACCAAAAACTCAAAATATAATAATAAAATTGATACTTGAAACATTCGATTTGGGCGAATAATTCAACAGAGAATCAAGCAGAACTGTATCCAGCAATTCGTATCAATTGGAAGCAATTCGAGAAATAAGAGATTCGAGCAATCAATTTGGGAATCGAGTAGAAGAGAATCGAGTAATAAGAGATTCGAGGAATCAAATTGGGAGATTCGAGCAATCAATTGAAGGCGATATAGGGTTCATCATTTTTTAGTAGGAGAGAGATTGAGTGTTTAGAGAGAATAAATCATTTTTGGGTAAGTTGTTATTTTGTTTTATTTTATTACTTGTAGTACTGGGTGTCTTAGTGAGGGCCAAAGAGCAACGAGGGCAATTTACATTTCGCCCTCTTTGCTCTGAAATAGAGGACAAAAATTAAGTTCGTCCTATTTGCTTTGAAATAGAAAGAAGAAAGTAAAATTCGTCCTATTTGCTCTGTAATAAAGGGGCGATTACAAACTCGTCTTCTTTGATAGAAACTAATAAGGCAAGTTTGAAGCGTCCTAGTTGGTAAGATAAATTAAGGCAAAATACAACTCGTCCTCCTTGATCAATTTATGTCGCCCTCTTTGATCTTTTTTCTTGTAGTGTTACATTGAATACATAAAAATTATAATGCAAGTTAAACAAGCAAATAAAGATTGAAAAAAAAAATCAAATAATTTAGTACCTTCTACTAATAACAGAATTACCAATTGTAATCGATTGATATTTTCTACATATAATTTTGTCGAGCCTCCATCAAGTAACCCCTCGTTGCGCCGCCCCTGATTTGAGGATGTTTGACGTGTTTTGGAGGAGCATCAAAGCATAAGCTTGTTTAGCATGGGCACTCTTCATCTGAGTTACTGAGTATATAAACAATCGGTGGAGTGCATGGGTCATTCAATTCTATAGAAAAATCATATTTTATAAGAAAAAGATGCAACTTTTATAATATATATATCCATTTTAAGCAAATGTATATGGTGAACCTAAAAAGTAACGGTGTTTAGTACTATATATAAAATATCATTTTAAGGCGTGTTTAGTTTATACAGTGGTATGGAGTTGAAAACTTAATTTTTAATACCCTTTGTTAATTAAATTATTGTTCTTGTAAATAGATTTTTCTTTGATACAGAGATGTGGTATGAGTCATACCTACCACCCTCCCCATCTAAACCCCGAATTTGTGAGCAGCTTGTAATGTGGCCCAGTGGGATTAAAAAGTTTTTAAGTAATCCAATAAACTATAATATATTACCCAAAAAATGTTTAATATTCCACAAATATTTAAACTCAAAAATCAAACTCTAAAAATAAAAGTTATATACAATTAAACATAGAAAAAAATTTGTTTTCAAGCTACATTATTAGAAATTTGAGTGGCTTATTTGCATCTTATATTTCGTTTTTTTACTATATTAATGGTATATTATTACTTTTTATGAAAGTCGTAAAAACAAAATATTTGGGGAGTCTGTTTAACTATTAATCCATCCACGTACGTTATATATAAAATTCAAAAAATAATATATCGATCTAATAACTTATATAGAATTTCCAAACACCTACATAAAATAATTTTTAAAAAGTATTCAGTAATTATCTAATTTTCATACATTGAAATGTTCAAAAAATTGTATAAAATGTCTAATAACTTACTACCTCCGTTTTTTATAATTGACACGTTTTGACTTTAGCACTATTCACTCACTCCCCTTTGACCGTGTTTTGTACTTTATATGTAATGAAAAATATAGTCATGTGGGGTTTTGTTAGATTCATCATGATATATATTTTAAAAATATCAACTTTTTATAATTTTTGTTTATCGGTAATTAAAGATATTAATGAATAAATTTGTGTATTGGCAAACGTGATAAAAAAACTTGTCAACTAAAAAAAAACGGAGAAAGTATATTATATCTCTCATCATAGTAGTCATATATATACTACTATCTCAAAAGTAATTTATCAGTATATAATTTAAATTTAAAGACGTGTGGGGTGGAGCAAGTAACGGGCGGGTATGGCGGCCTTAAATCCACCCACCCCAATGCCCCATCACCCGTGACGAGTATGATTTTCAACTCCATCCCCGTCCATCACTTGCCAAAACTAAATCCATCTCCACCCCCTATTTGATCCGCCTTACTGACATTGCTTATTAGAGGCTCACAAATTTTAATTAGTTAGCTATTTTTAAAAATAATGTAACAAGTTATCTTGAAATTATAATACTTCCTCCATCCCATAATTTAAAATAACAAGTTACTGACATTGCTTATTAAGGATGATGGACTTTTTTTCACTATTTATGTATTAGCTTTGACCTTAATTTTTACTAACATGTTAAAAACATATTTTATCATAAAATATATTATTAGATAGGTATTAATATAAAGTTTCATAATATAATTTTAAAAATAATTTTCATCAATATTTAATCATATAAAATAAAGTCAAACTAATGCATTGGCATTTGTGCAAAGTTGACTGTGTCAATTATTTTGGGACAGAGGGAGTAGTAAATTAATTTAGTCGATCAAATATTTAGAGGAAATACTCATACTATTAAATATTTGCCTCCGTTTTTTTTTTTTTTTTTTTTTTTTTTTTTTTTTTTGTGTTGACACGTATTCCTTTTTAGGAAGTTTATTTTTAGTTGACACGTTTCCTTTTTTGGTAAGTTTTATAACTTGCTTTTTTAGTGTACCCCACTTGCTTTATCATTCTCTCTCCACTTCTTAATACGTGTGTCTAAATTTGAACGTGTCAACTAAATAAAAACGAAAAAAGTATAACACATGTGTCTTATCTCATATCCACCATTTGTGACTCTTTTATACACGAAAAACAGGTCATCTTGCATCTTGTTAGTCTCGGCTACTCGAGTAGCTTTATACGAAGCATGAACTATATATTTTTTCAAGCCATGCATGTTATTAAAAATAACGCGAAATGCAGACAAGATTTCCGGAGCATCAGAAGCTTGATTGTGGAATTTGATGGATCTAGATACAGGAAAAAAATATGATTATATTCTTAAAATGAGCATGGTAAATTATTTCATATTCAACCCATACCATTTTAGACACCACGTAATTATTTTGAGAGAAATTAATTAAAGATAATATTATTCAAGTCAATAAAACAATGATGACGGTGCTCAAATTATTGGATTAACTAGATTTGTAATTTTCACTATTTATTATTATTAGTTTAACACTATATATAATTATATTAATTATCTAATTGCAAAATAAGATGGAAAATTTGTAATCACAAAAATAAAAAAATTAAATTATATCATACTAAAGAAAATAGTGGAAGTCTTACATGCACGACTAATAACATAATTATGGATTATGTCATAAAGTCATATGTAGGAAAATATTATTACATAGTGTTAAATAAAAGAATAATATATTTGTTGAATTTATATAAATAGATTATAATTACCAAACTATAAGGGAAATATTATTGCACAATATTAAATATTCTCTAAGAAGTTTTGGCAAAGAAAATAAATATATTTTGGCGGGAATTTTTTTAAAAAGAAGATGACATATGTCATCTGGTTTCACCTATAATATAGTACGAAGTATATAATAATATATAGTTTTAGCTATAGATTTATGTGTTAAAGTCAATTTGATGCAATATAACGTAAAGATGTATTTTTTTAAAAAAAATAATTTATTTCATACTATAAATAAAATCCATTTCATTGTAACGTATCAGAAAAAAAAAAATCAATTTAAGCAAATAAGGTTAATATTACTAATAAAAATCTTTAATTTCTATTATAATATATATAATTTTCTTTTTTTTTTTTTGTCTTAAATAAGTTGTCAATCAAAGAAATATAAAAAGTGAAAATAAAGTTAGAATATAATTATTTTTGAAAAATAGTTTTGGAGGGAAAAAACGATACTATGAAGTGACATGTGTCATTTTCGATGTCTAATTTAGTATTATGTTATTGAATTGATTGATGATTGACTCAAAATCTCAAATTATTCATTGATTTTCATATATACAAAATAAACAATATCATACCCTTTTTGAACAATTGAACAAGTCAAGCCATACTGACCAAAAATTGTTCCTCTATATAAAGGGTGCCAATTGCCACCAAGAAAATGCAAGAAATAAACCAATCCGCAATATAAAGCTATCCTTCAACACTTATACTTTGTTTAACAATCCAACGCCACTGCACCTTTCTAGCTATAACAAATTAACAAGCTTGCATAATAATGAGCAATCTTTCATTTTTCTTAGTCTTTTGTTGTTTACCCACTTTGTCCCATGCCATAGAACTCGACTATTGTGTCAGGGATCCTAGATCTTCCTCGAGGACCTCAAGGATATGCTAGTAAAGATTCTGCTAAAGTCACAACTGATGATTTTGTTCACACAGGTTTTCGAGGTGAAAAAACTACTAAGAATGTTTTTGGAAACAATGTGACATTAGCATTTTCAGATGTGTTTCCAGCCTTTAATGGTTTAGGCATATCTATGGCTAGGTTAAACTTTGCTATAGGAGGAGTAGTTCTAGTACACTCTCATCGTACATCAGAAGTTCTTATTTTGGTTAAAGGTTCAATCATTGCAGGATTTATTGATACAAACAACACTGTATATTATTAAAGATTAGAGGTTGGTGATGTGATGGTATTTCCACAAGCCATGCTTCACTTCCAAATCAACGTTGGTAAAACTCCGGCTACTGCCTATGTTAGTTTGAATGGTGCAAACCCAGCATTACAGCTCACTCCTACCTCTTTATTTGCTGGGAATTTACCCGCTGACATTGCCTAGAAAATCACACTCTTAAGTCGTAAGGAAGTTATGCAAATGAAGTGAATATTCGACACAGCTTAACAAAACTCCTTTCCTGAATTATTCTAAGTTCCCAAAATAAAAATGAAATAAAGTAATAAAAGAGTGCATAATTAAATTATATATGTCCATTGTATTCCTTCAGCTTTTTGTACAAATGAATAATTTTTTAACATATACATATATAATATCCTCCTTGCTTTTTCTTTAATGCTCATCAGCTCATCCCTTTTTAGGACAAATGGACAATACTTCCTCCATTTGTACATTTTTAGTTGACACATTTTTGCATTTTTATTTTTTAATATTATTATTATTATTATTATTATTATTATTATTATTATTATTATATACCAAAAATAGATAAAATCATACAACCTCCAAATAATTAGTGGGAAGCCGAGATACAATCTGGGCTCCCACTCCTCTAATTATAGCAAATCTAATCCTAGGGAACCTTGATATGGGCAGCAACACGTACCCCAATGTCTTGCATCTTTAAGAACTTCTGAACCCGCTTCAGTAATGTAACGGTCTCCTTCTCTAATTCGCCAAGAGAAGAGAAGGAGAAAGGAAGGAAACCGTACCCAATTGTTTGACAGTTAGCCTCATACTTAGTCCGCTTTCAAAGAGCAACATCTACCACAACCCGCCCAGGAGAAAAGTCAGACAACTCAGACTGAGTCAAAGGAGAAGACCCTGTCAATTCAACACACATATCGCGACCCCGCTTCCAAGATAAAGTAACACATCTGCAGATCTGAGGGCCCCATTGTTTCCTCCCAGACAACCTAGTGTCAACCTCCTTCCTTGCCGAAATCCCAAACCGGTAGCAAATATCAACTAGAGTATCTCGAACAACATTATGCCGATGTTTAACACCCACAATACCGACACACGACAGCGCATGATTGCCGAAAATATCCCAAATCCTTGCTTAAGAAGAGCACGGTGCAGAAAATAGAGAACAAAGGAACACCCAACCGATAACACAACACGCTGCGATAAGTCTTCGCGTTCATCGTCTGACCTAACCCTGAAATAGGGACCGCCCGAAGCCAAGCCGATGTATTATTATTATTTTATTTTTTGTTTTGGTCACTAAGTGAGTTTTATAGATCAAAATCAACAGCTATATACCCAAGTCCCCTTAGGGAACAAAACAAAAGGCAATACAAATGACCATCAACCCAAAAGAGAAGCAGACTATACAAGCTTCTCTAAAAAATCCATATCAGAATTTTTAATATACTTTGATCTAAGTCCTAACAGCCTAGTTCTAATATCAAAATTTACAGTTTTTACAATGGTATGTATACATGGAACCTTTAGATCCCAAAGTGCTGTATTCCTTGCCTTCCAAATCCAATATATCACTGCTAACAAACTCATCCTAATGATTCCTTTCTAGAACTTGGTATGAGTTGTTCTATCTCTTCTACTGGTTGCTTTTAGGTTCTGGCATTTTACCTTGAAATTCAATTCGGAAGTCACTTCCTCAATGACTCTTTTATTGTAACTACACTGAAAAAACAGGTGATCATGACTCTCTTTATGATTTCCACACAGGAGGCAATCAGGCCTAGTGCTTGCCCCAAATTTGATCAATTTGTCCCTGGTTAATAACCTTCCATGCACTGCGAGCTAGGAAATGAACTGATGCTTAGGGACAGCCCACCTATCCCAAACAAATCTGCTCCATCCATCTCTAGCCTGACAGGTCTCAAAAGAGTATAACTCTTACTTATTCTGTATTTACCATACCTAAAAGAGTTGTTAGCATACACATTCATCATTGTTTGCTTCACCTCACAAAACTTCTTCCAGTACCAACTGGTATCAGCTGTAGGTTAGTAATCCAACTAGTTTTTGCCTTTTATGTACACTGCATTAACCTACCTCACCCAGAGATTCTCTTTATTCTATGCTATTGCCCACACATGTTTCCCAAGAGCAGCCTTATTCCATGTCTCAACATCTTTTATACCCAAACCACCTTCGATTTTCAGCTTACAAATATCCTTCCAGGCTATATAACCAGGTTTATTATGTAAACTTCAATGCCATAGAAAATTTCGACAAATTGCATTAATTTTTTGTAATAATTTCCTTAGGCATAATCATGATATGAGCCTAGTAGGTTTGGATACTCATAAGGACAGAATTTACCAAGAGCTGCAAAGGACAAGTGTCTTGAGCTCCACACCTTTATTCTGGTACCCATTCTATCAATAAAATGTTTACAATCAACTACAGAGAGCCTTTTTGAGCATATTGGCACACCTAGATACCTAAATAGGAGCCTGCCTTTCCTGAAGCCTGTCATATCTAGAATTTGTTCACTCAAGTCATTGTCAATTTCACCATAGTAAACAAAAGTCTTCTCTGCACTAGCTTTTAACCCAGTAGCATTTGTGAAGGCTTTAAAACCTTTCATCATCATTTTTACAGACTTGACTTTTCCTTCACAACAAAGAATTAAGTCATCTACAAAACATAAATGGGTAAAACCCACAACTTTTCATCTGGGGTGAAATTGAAACTTGGTGTTAGTGCTGATAACTTTTAGAATTCTTAATAAGTATTCAACACACAACACAAAGAGTAAAGGGGAAATGGGATCTCCCTATCTCAATCCTCTTTTTGAGCCAAAAAAAACCATGTAATGAACCATTTATCATTAGTGAAAACTTAGGAGATCTGACACACACCATAATGAGTTTAATGAAGTGGCCAGGAAACTGTAGAGCATTCATCATTTCTTCTAGGAAATCCCAATCCACGGCATCATAAAATTTCATCAGATACAACTTAATAAGACATCTTGGAGGGGCAACTTTCCTATTATAATTCCTCACTAGATCCTGACAAACCATGATATTATGCACAACATATCTACTGTGCACAAAAGCACTCTGGCTCTCAGCTATTATCTCAGGAATTACCTTTTTCAACCTTTCACAAAGCATCTTTGAGATGCATTTGTAAACCATGTTACAACAAGCAATTAATCTGAACTCTTTGACATTCATAGGAAATTTAGTTTTAGGAACCAAGGTTATGGAAGTAGTGTTAACTTCTTTCAGAATTTTACCAGTCTCCATAAAGTTAAGAATAGCTTCACTGATGTCTTTACCCACTATATCCAAGCATTCTTTACAGAATTACTCCCAAATTCATTTGGCCCCGGAGCTTTGTTCTCATCAATGTCAAACATGACTGCTTTCACCTCCTCTTTGCTAAAAGGTGCTGACAGTACATTTTGCAAATCCTCGTTCAACAAAGGACCTTGCTGGACAATATGCTCATTACAGGCTTCCTTTCTTCTGTAGAGGTTCCCAATATGTACTCATAATACTCAAGGAAAGCTTTAAGAATATCATCAGAATTCTCACCTTGCATATTCTGAATAGTATATATCTTGTTTTGAAACTCTTCTTCAGTGACTATGAAAGATCATGGTGTTTTGATCTCCTGCTTTTATCTCAGTTCACTTTTGTTTTCTGTCTCAAGTATGAAATGTAATCATCTTGAGCTAGAATCATGTGTTTTTTTGCTGTCAATTCTTTCTCCCTCAGCTCCAGATTCTTGGGATCTTTATGGAGTTCAAGATTGACATTTATCTGACTCAGATTTAGACAAGTTCTACTACACCACAATATTCAAATTACCATGCTTATTAAGATCAACAAGCATTTTCTTTACCCTTTTGAGTTTCTGTACAACTCCATACATTGGGGTACCCTTCACATCTTCCTCCTAGGCTTGCTTCACATTATCCCGAAATTCAGGTTTCCTGCTCCACATATTGAAGTATATGAAAGGTTTTTTTCCCTCCTTCTACTCTGGGAAGACAGAAACAACTCCAGGGCAATGATCAAAATCCTTCTTATTATGAAAATACATCTCAGCATTCTTGAACAAAATCTAAAGGACACAATTAAAATCACCAAGAGCTATCCATGCCCCATCAATTCTACTGCTTAATACTCTAAGGTCATTCCACAACACCTCCCTTTCAGTATTAGTAGTAAAAGCATAGATGAAAGTGTAGTGAAAACTTTCCTTCATGCTTTTAGATTTTACAATACAATGAATCAGCTGACTTGTACACATAACAATATCAACCTCAAAGGATTGAGATTTCCAAGCAACCACTATTCTGCCTCTATTTAGGGAACTATTATTACAGGTGATATTCAGCCATCAAAAACCCCAAGGTAGAGATTTCCCATGTTCTGAGATTTCACCTTGTTTTCCAAGAGACCAACGGAGACCACAATTTTGATCAACCAGAAATTGCTTATCTTTTAATGCTTTCCTGGTCAAGTTGGCACCCGTTACATTCCAGGATATTATTCTATCCATTGCTGTCAGAGGGTATTCCTCCCTCTGCAGCTTTGGTGCTTACTGCATCAGTATTACTAAGTTACTCTGATCTACTTCCCCTTCACCTTATCTAGAACAACAAAAGGATTACTAATTATTATTTTAAACACTAGTTCAGATGATTTGCTTGAAGATTTCATCACCTCTTGAAATTCACCTTCTTTCTCCTTCTCTCCAGTTCTCACTATCTCATCTTTTATTAGCCTTATTCTTCTCTAGAAAAACAAGTTTATTTGCTATTGTTTCTGAGTTTACAGGCTTCTTTAGCATCAGTTTTCCTTTAGGAACCCAAATTTTCTTTTTCTTGCCTCTACAAACATCAACCGTGTGTCCCAACTTCTTGCACAGAGAGCACAACATTGGTCTCCATTCATACTTCAAACTGACCAAGACCCAACTTCCCTTCTCATTCACAAGCT